TTTTTTTTTTTTTTTTTTTTCTTATTTAAGTTGCCTTGTAAAGGAATTCAACGATTTTGTTGTTATGAATCGTTTTCAATCTGAGAGAATAATTTCTTGCCACTTTTTGAGGAGTTATTGATATTGATTCCTCGCCAGCTTGACTTCTACAACAGTTGGTTTTGGCCATATTATTTATCTGTAATCGAATAGTGATATTTTTGAGATCTTGATTACACACGTAGATCTGTGCAGCAGTTTTGCTCAAAATTTATTATTTTATTCTTGAATTCTTATTCTTTGTTCAATCTGCAGATTTAGAAATGTTTCTTGAGAAAAACCTCATTGGATTGAAAATGGATGTCGTGGATCTGACAATTTAGTTGCAATAAATAATGACTGATTTTTAATGAAGGTTTATGGCTTCATTTTTATTGGTACTTATCGGGACTCCTTCCAGTGAAATTATAAAAACGATATAAGCAGGCTTTTAGTCTAAAAGAATTACTAATTCTGGAGGTCTTGACGGGATTGGTTTGATCTTTCATCTGTTATTTCGATATGTATAACTCTCGAGGGGTGAAAAATTTTTTTTTGAGCTTATCTTTTTAAGGTCGGAAATATTGCACCAACGTTTGCTTTCTTTGAAGAAATAGGTTTTTTTTTTCTTAATTTATTTAATAAATTAACTTTTAACATGCAAAGTACTACAAACTATTGTGTTTTTCTATTGGAGCACCCATAAGCCGCATACAGTTTAGAATATGAAAGGCGTGGATTTTCACATAAATTTAGAATAACTCAGTTCTGTACACGGGCATACACAGGCAGCAAAGCAGTAAACTTTCAAAGAAATCCTTGTGGCGCAAAACGTTGAGAAAGTTCTGCAAGATTTAATTCGGCATAGAATTCACCTTTCTGTTTTTTTTCTCTGTTTTGCTCACTTGGGTTTGAATTGTCAATTAATTAGCAAAGTTCAAAAAAAAAAAAAAAATTAAGGCATCAATTTTCAGAAATATGCAGTTTGATGTTAGGTGGTTTTGCTGCTACTCCTTGTATATAATAAGGCTAGGATAAGTTTGAAGCACATAGATCAGCATCTACTGCTCTATCAGCCTCTGACTTGTATTACTTTTTTTTTCTGAGATTACTTGGTCTCTCTAAATATAGTTCTGGTTTGAAAATTATAAGGAATTGGCATACTGTAATATGCTTTAATTTTGTGCTATCTTTCACAGTTTGTATTTACAGAAAACTATTTCTCAATGTTTCATAGTAAAGCTTATGCACATGTTTATTATTTCTTGATTCAATGAACTGTTATTTTTGGTTTTGCATTAAAAGTTTGAGGATTTTTATCACTTATCATTGTATGTGGTTTTGCTGGTTTGGTACTCGCTTTTAGTCAGTAAAACTTCAAATCTGCTTGCGCATATTCGACATGCGTCCTAAAAAATTCCTTTGAAGTGTGTAAATTTGAAAATTTATCTTTTTTGAATGTGGCTACTTTGGTAAGATTATCAAAAAGACAAACATCATCACTCAAAATGGTATTGAGGTTTGTCTTTGATTTGTGCAGAAACTGTCACTTTTTGAACGTTACCTCCCTTAGATGGTGACATTACAGCAATGAACTAGGGAGTACTTTAAATCCGTTTTTTTTTGAATCGGCAAACATTAAATTTTTTGTTATGTTTGTTTACAATTTTGAAAAAAAAAAAAATAAATTCATTTTGCATTTTTATTGGTGTCGCGAAACTTACAGGTTAACAACAGCTTTCGGGTTCTCTACTATCCGTGTTTCAGTTTCTTACGGTAGTGCCTCTGATCTAAGAAACCACCATTCTTTGGGCTAAAAATACGCACAACGCGGTTCCTCGTTAAATTGTCATTTGATCATCTATCAGCGCCTTCTCAGGACCGTTAATTGCATCTGCTGCTGCTGTTGCTGCTGTCGTGAATTTAACTTGGAGTTCCATATCTCCGCCAGTTATTTAAATTTTAGACTGATTTTTTAGATAAGTGAGGTCCTTTGAATTTAGTTTTTTCAAGGTCGCTTCCATGTATTCGAGTTGGTCGGATTTGAGTTTTGAAGTTTGCCTACAGTGTATTTTGTTCAATCCTAGATGAAGTTAAATTTGTAAAAGGTTTTCTTAAACATTTCCTTCAAAAAATAACGCTCGCTTAGCCTGAGTTATCAAGTGATTTCATTTCTTTTGCTGGCATAAATCTTTTTCTTTCGGTTCCATTCTTGGCCAGTTGTCTCCCAATGTCTTCTAAGTGCCTTTTACATGGTATCTTACCGTTGGTTATCTACTGACTCCACAGCTGTAACTTCTGTAGTTGATCTGAAACGATTTCTGTCGGCTGTAATGGGATAGTAAAAATAGGAAATTTGGCAACTTGCCCGGAGCTGAATTTATGGATACAGCTGTTAAGAATGCTGTTCTGCGCTTCGCATGCATTTCTTACGGCAGCTTTACCCGAGGTCGATATAAGGTATGTCTCAGTTGACATATAGAATCAGATCAGGATAAGTTTATGCGTACAACAACGCTTCATAACAAGCATATGTGGTATATTCAGCTGGTTGTTGTATTAAACAACGATTATATTTTCACTTATTTCTGTCTAGTTGTCATTAGAGGATTGTAATGGAGAATATGCGTTTTTCACATTTTTATTTTTCACTGTTTGGTGATAGTAATTGGGCAATTTTCTAGTGCCTGGTACATTTTTAGCTTCAACCCTTCTGAAGTTATTGATTTTATATCTATTAATTTAAGGTTATTGCGGCAGGATTTCCAAAATTGAAGAAAAAAATTGATTTTAAATTTGAAGCTTTTGGTACTAGCTACTGGTTTTGGATGAATCAGTAGGCAGGATAGGAGGAACAGTGGCCTATTCGGTACCATCTATCTGACTGCTCCTTTACAATATCGAAAAAGTTAATTTATTAGCTAAATGAGTTAGAAGTTATTAGGCCACGTCTGGTTTTGAATTACGTGCCGCGATTCTGAATTAGAAAAGTTTTGAAATACATCCCAAAAAAAAAAACATTTTTTGCTCAATTCGTTATTAAAATTTGGAAGACTTGTAGTTTAATTACTACTTTTTCCTAACATTTGTTGCGAGTCTTCAGTTTCAATCAAATAAGTAACCTATCTTGTTTCTGAACACAAACTCTTTAATTTTTCTTCGTTGATGGTCTGCTCTAACGACTTTAATGGATGGTATTCATTGCCTTTTCAATTCGACATTTTTCTGCGGTCTTCTTGCAAAAGAAAACAATACTTTATTAATTTTTCTCAACTTACCCAAGTATGAACTGATAAACAAGTTATTTAGCTTTTGTGAAGTTTAATTTTCTATCTTATCCTTACAACCATTTTTTTTTGTTGATTCTCGTAGACTATAAGTGAAATTTATCAAATTACAGATTGAAGCTAATGGAACATTTAACATCATAATGTTTATGCAACATTATTTTTTTGATAACAGTGTAGCAAAGGGCTAAGCATAAGATAAGTAGTGCAAACTTGTTGGGTTCTTACAAGAAAGCGCCACAATATGAAATAGAATTCAGTTCTTCTAGTTTGCACTCTTAGGCATATAATAATCTTTGATACTCATACTTTGAAGAAGGGAGAAAAAAGTGGATATGAGCAGAATGAAGTGGAGGAGACAAACCGATAAAGTTGCTTGATTAGTGGATTCATGATACTTGGCTTGAGCGAACTGTATGCAATGGAAGAAGCATGATAAAGTACCAATTTTTCAGCTGCTTACTGATGAGCGTCTTGTGATTTGCATATCTTGAAGTTGCTTTTTCCTAAATAAAGATTTGTTGTTTGCTTTCTTAATATTAAGCTTTTTACCTCAACTCTGCTGCACAGTAATTTTTTTCGTCTCTATTTCATTTCGTCATCTTTCACAGTGTTTTTTTGATAATTTTTTCTTTGGATTTTTTTTGGGGGCGTTGACGGAAAAATTAGAACGCGGGGGGGGGGAGTTGAACTCGGTTTAAAACATGCTTTTACTCGGTTCTTTGTAACCCTCACCTCGTTGTTATTTTCGTTTATGTTTTTTGGGTGTGCCGGTAATATACTGTCTTCTTTTATTGACCATGGAAGCGGTCGATGAGGAGCAGCATTCTGGTAAGGGTCAGAGTACGGAACAGGAGCCGGTAACGAGTTTCCGACGTCGCCGAAAAGGTGATGGAAGAAGTTTACGTCTGGAAAAAGCTGCAGTAAGTTGATTATTTTTTATGTTAATTTCTGTCGTGAAACTCAATCTTGGTTGGTTTCTTTTCGTTTCATGTAGATCCGGTCTTATTTCTGAGCTTTGTGATGCCATCCTGTATTATACTTGACCAAAAGAGTAGGATTTATATGTGTTACATTGTCACTTGAAAGAGTTTAGGCCAAACGGAAACGTCAAGAAGCACGACGAAAATTGCGAGAAAAACTGGGAGATGCTGCGCCACCAAAAGAACAACCAAGAACAATAGAAAATCAGAGAGAGTACGACATCACTATGGTAGAGCCTGAGGATCAAGAGGTTTTTGGCAATAATTTTTTTATTTTAAGGGCTTGGAATGGCTTTTGTAACCAGGTTTAAACTTTTTTGAGCTAGTGGGGGAATTCTCCACTACAGTTTTTGTTAGTTAGCTCTTCAAATTATATTGTATTAAGTCGAGAAAAACTGACTTTTTTGCATTTTCAAGGTCATGCACGACGAGGCTAACGACGAAATGAGTTCGTACTTCAATAGAGAAATCCCACCTAAAGTGGTCATAACAACTTCCCCATACGCAAAAGTTGTAAGTAGTACGCGTTTTTCTTTAGTACCTGCAAAGCTTTTTTTTGTCTTGCATATTCTTACTTTGAATTACAAAAATTAAAAAAATTTATTTTTAGAAAACCTTCAAATTTTGTTACGAGTTACAAAAATGCATACCTCACGCGCGTGTTGTCACTAGAAAAGGTCTTGCTCTGAAAAAAGTAGTTAAGCAGGCAATAGCAAATGGTTATACGGATGTAGTCGTTGTACACGAAGATGCGCGTATGCCAAGTAAAGCGAAGTTTGAATTTTTTAAACCTAGTAGTTGCACGTCAAGAAATTAAATTTCTGTTCATAAAATAATTTTTATTTAACGGGAGTGAAGGTTATTTTGCCTTATTCATATCTTAAATTTGAATGTATTGTTTTGTACTTCTTTTTGAAACGTGTTTCAGATGGAATAGTCTTGTGTCACCTGCCTGATGGTCCAACAGCATATTTTAAAATCAACAGTTTTAAACCATCAAAAGAAATAAAGGTCTTTCTTATTGAATAGCTTAATCGTCTTGGATGTTACGGGTAGTCTAAGAAAGTAGGGGAACAAAAAAATTTTGTTTTGCTAGAATAAGGGCTGAAAAGACAGTCGTTTTCTGGTATTACTGCTGTCTTAATGAATACCTGTGATTCTGCAAGTATTAGGCATGTTATTGAAATCTTTGAAGATTCTTGAAGGTTTCCATTGGGGCAGTGTTATTATGTCACTTTTGGTCTCACTCTTTTTTTGAAAGTGAACATTTTAATTGGACTTTTAACTTGTGGTGCAGGTACGAGCAAGGTTCGACCAGATAAGAGTTTATGGGTCTGAAAAAATAAGCTTTTGGCTTAGAGGAAGATTTTAGTGATGAAGCATCGTGGAGGGTTTTTCTACTTAAAAAGTTTACGAAAACTTTTACGCTTGTTTATGGAAATCGTCGTCATGCTATCTAGGAAGAGCTATTCCATTTTAATTTTTGACAGGACTTAATTTTTTTTTGGCAGCTGTCATTTTAATTTTTGTTTCTGACTTCTGTTAGTAAATCTATGTTTTGCAGTTTATTTTAAGTTGCTTTTAGATAGGTGATCTACCATTTAGCTTTGCCTAGAGTCTTATTTGAGAGCTCTGTGACAATGAAAATTTGATTTTTGTCTACAACGTTTAAGACCTAAGTATGCTAGAAAGTTTATGTGAAGTGTAGGCTACCGATCAGGTCATGCAAGAGGTTTATTTTGGCAAGAGTTTCACTGACAGGTTTATTGGCATCTAAAAGTCGTCCAGGATTCTGCAAGGATTTTTTAGTAGGGCTTTTCAATAAGTTTTTTGAAACCGTTTTTTTTCTTAAGATACACAGGCTCATTTTTGCTTGGCACTCCAAAAGTGAATTGAGGAGGCTTCCTAATAAATATTTTTTCTCGCGGACTTAAGGCTATTTAAAAACTGGCTCAATCACGATGACCGTGAGATTTTTTCAAGCTACTGTTTATGTCTATTTTCATGTTTTCAAGAAAAAAGCGTGTTTCCCCGTTACAGAATGTCGGTGAGTCAACGGAACATTTTCCTGAAGTAATACTGAACAACTTCAATACACGTCTTGGGCATACTATTGCTCGTATGTTTGCAAGCCTTTTCCCTTACGATCCGATGTTTAAAGGACGGCGAGTTGTGACTTTCCACAATCAGCGAGATTACATATTTTTTAGGCACCATAGGTATTCTTTATGCTTTGATTTGTCGAAAAAAGATTTAGACATATTCCTCCATTTTCTGCTACCGCTGCTTTTGTCTTCTTTGCAGATATGAATTCAAAAAGGATGGAGAGAAGGCTGCGTTACAGGAATTAGGACCACGTTTTACTTTACGTCTGAAATGGCTGCAAAATGGTGTATTTAATTCACGGTCGGGAGAGTATGAGTGGGTCTTGAAGGTACGCTTGCATAATTTCATATCTGGAAATTTTATATCTTATCGTTTTATTTTTTGGTTAAAGTTGCACATCTGTTGGAGCTATGCTTGCTGAATGAAAACGCCTCAGTATGTTAGAATCGTAGAACACTAATTTTTTAGATTCTTATGAAGTTTTTGGCAATTACAGTAGAAGAAGATACAGTTTTGCATAGATGTTTTAATAGTTTTTCTAGTATTTGTAAATTTATAAAGAGGCTCTACTTGTATCTTATTAGGTTTGAGGGTGTAAACTGTATGTTTATTCAAACTCATTTTTAAGCTATTTTGAATTGCAGAGGCATGAAATGGAAACGAGTAGACGGCGTTTTTTCTTGTAGCGCGGTTTATATATTGTCGTAATTTTTATGAGCGATTCTGGATGGTTTTTTGTCAAGAGACTATTGTTTTCGACGGCTCTCGTCGTTTTTTACCTCAAAACTTCAGATTTTTATGCTTACTGGTTGTTGTGTTTTGTACTTTTTGTGTTATTGTTATAGATGGCTCTCCTTAAATTTTCTTCATTTCTGCTTATTTTCTTTGTTATTTTGACATTGAGCTTGTTGCTTACGACGTTTAATGCTCAGTTTGTTTCCGTTTAGCTGTACTTTTTTTTGTACTTGATTGGCAATTAATATGCTTCTAAGTTGAAGCTTTTTGGCTCTAATTTTTTATGGTCAAACACGTACAAACTGCTAGAATAAACTCTTTATCAATAGAAAATGCTGTTGGAGAATTGCTAATGGATGGTAGTATTCGTAATGAATGTTTTATTTCTTATTTTAAGTAAGATTTTTTCTTCCACTTGCTGATGCGTTTACGTTATTGGTGGTGAGCGGTTAGAAATTTTAGCTTTTGTGTTGGGTTATAACTATTGAATTTTTTAAGGCTGGTCGGAAGTAGTTTTAGTACGCCATGGCTGGACGTACTCGAATGCCAGGGTCTTTTTCGTCTCAAAACTTGCGACATCCCAGTGGTAATTTTAAACCATTGTCAGAAACTATGAGAAACAATTTTTAGTCGGTAATTTTTGTGATTTCCCAAAAGCTGCATTTTAAGGTAACTTTGCGTCGCGACGCTTAGCTTCCGGTAGTCAGCTGAAATATTTTATGAAAAGTTTTTATGGTGGGTGTTCGACAGCAGCACTATTTGTTTTGAAAAAGCTTTTCATTTCTTTAATTTTGAAGGCTTCTAAATCATACTGCCGTGTTTTGCATGACCAGCGTATTTATGACATTTTATGGGCGCGTTCCCTTGCTCTCTATCGAACATAGTACGTGTATTTGATGTTTGCTGGATACCTTTAGTTGATTAGGCTGAGAGTGACACTGAGCTGTTTCGCTTTCATTGGCTAGTTAAGCGGAAATATAGTTCTCAAGTAGCATATGTTTCTTCTAACCTGTGGATTCTCTTATTTCAGTTTAACTACACTGTTCATTTTACACAATTCAGAAACTTATACTTTAGTTAGAAATGCTGATTTCTTTCACTCTAGCCCTAATGGGACCGTAATTTTTGAAGCAGAGGAATCACTTTTGGTTTTTAGTCAGCCCTACGTCAGTCTCGCAATCAACGTCGGCTGCCGTGTTAACATCTCCAGCTCGCCGTGGCTTTTTCTCAATGATTTTCAACAGGCACAAAGAAGAAGTCAAGAGTTATGTTAGCAGGTGTCTGTTTTTTTGAAAACATTAAAAAATACATTGACTATATAGGTGATTTTGAAAGAGAATTATGAGCGATTACAGTTGTGGTTTGGATATTTTTTTTCGAAATCACTTGATCATGGTTGTTGGTAGATAGTTTTTTACATTGCATTTTACTATAACGTTATTTAGAGAACGTAAGTTAAACCCTAAGTTGTTGGTCTATGTAACAGTGTTGTAGTCTGACGCACTTAATAGTTCAGCGGTCTAGCACTTTCATTACTTGAAGAGGGGTAAATGTCTGGGCGTTTTGCTCCTCTGCGAATCTTCTATTGAACTTTAAGGATATTTTGACCAAGGTTTTTAGCGAGGGTTCTATCACACACCAAGCATGGCAAGAGATGGGACGCCAAAGCTCTTTAAGGACTCGTCTCGGGGCTATCGAACAATTACGAAACGTGAGTTCTTTTTCATAATAGTGTTTACAAAATTTATCAATATTTGTTAGCTTTAAGTCGCACTCTCTTTTAGCTTGTTCGCGCTCGCAGATTACAAGTGAGCACTCTGGAGGCAATATTTAATGAGACCCGGGACCTTTTAGAAAGCGGCCAAGAAGGTGAAGAACCAGTTTTGAGGATGCTGATATCACTAACTGAGTCTCAGATCGAGCAGATAGGTCTGGCCTTGAGGGACACATTCTTTAAAGTTAGATTTTACTTTTTTTTAAATATCAGTTTAAAGTGCTTTTAAGAGTGAAGATTAAAAGTGCAATTCAATTTGGATTAGATGATCAAATGCTAGTTTTTGTTTCAAAAGTTAGAAGTTGAAACTTTGGCGCATTTTATTTCAGGAAATATCTCGGTTAGGTTTGACAGATTTAAGTTTGGAGTGGTTGATCGCACTAACAAAAAACGGTGAAAAAGTACTCGGATTTGAATACAAAATTGCATCACTTTTAAAGAAGTGGATAGATATTGTATTAGATAGATCTGTCTCTGATCATCCCCAAGCAACTTGCATTCTGCAGTTTGCTCAGCAACTTGTCAGGTTTCCAGAGACTAACGATTATCATGTTTAAACTCTTCTTGAAGAACGTTGTTTTCTTAGAAATGATCACTTTTTTGGTCGCTGCAGTCGGTAATCTGCTTGTTAAAACAATAGTTATTACCTATTAAAAGTTTTTGCATTTTCTGAAGATCATGATAGTTGTCATCCCTAATTATATTTAAATTTCTTATATTGATTTTTTAAGGTGGAATGCTGGCTTCCTTCAAGAACAGAGCTTGGATGAAATAACTCACAAAGTTTGCGAACGACTGTACTTTAAGACTGACCATTTTACACACGAATGTTTGTTGCTGTTAAGCACCATTCTCAAATTTGGGTAAATGCTCTTCATTATTTTTTGAGCTGTTTGAAAACTTTCATTATTTCTTACAGCTGTCTTGCCCTCCTTTTTTTCATCTTGGTGAGAAATATGAGAAGCATTTTCCATGTTGCTATCTAATAAGGGTTAGAGAAAAATCCTTCGCAAGCTTACTTACAACAAACTTTTAAGGCATATTCCTGATAAGAAAATTATTACACTAGTAACAACACTCTGTTCGTTAGTAAACCGGAGCGAGGCCGGGAAGGATGCGTGGTTGTTAATGCGAGATTTACTACTGTCTAGGTCTGGGCACCGGACGCTAGTTTTGTTGATTAAGATAATAGGCAACAGCAGAAATTATGGTGATCAAGAAATTGTAGTCGGATCTGTCTCTATAGTAACAGTAGCGTTATGGGGAAGCCAGGTGACATTCTTTATGCTTTTTTTCATATCAATTACTGTCACTGTCCTTCTTTCCTAATTCCATGAATCATTTCTTCCATTTATATTGAAACTTAGAGGGTGGAAACTCTGAGATGTCAACCCACAGCGGTTCTTCCTGCTATGACGATGGGTATGGAGTCCAGTCCTCGTGTAATGAAAGAGATTTTTATATCGGTGAAGCGTTTACTGACTAAATATGGCAGGAACTTACAACAGCTGAGCTGGCACTCAGTAATTCAGTTGTTAAACAGAGCATTGGTTCTTTGCAAACAGGTTGGGTTAAAATAGGCG